CGCGGCGGAGGCGGAGAGGAGGGTCGCGGTGACGGTGTAGAGGGGCTGCGCGCCGTAGCGGACGGGGTACCACAGCGCCGGGTCCTGGATGTGGAAGGTGGCGGCGATGTCGGCGTCGGGCTGGGCGTCGACGGTCTCGGAGGCGACGGGCTTGTCGTTGAGGGAGACGTCAAAGCGGACCTTGGACGCCTTCCCCTCTGTCGTGGCGTGGGCGACGACTTTGGCGGATTTGAGGGACGGGTCGACGGTTGTCTCGAAGTAGAGGTCGGAGAGGCGGGAGGCGTACACTTCGAGATTGATGGGTCGCCAGGGGCCGCATGTCAGAAGCGTCGGGCCCCAGTCCCAGCCCTGGGTTGGTGTTAGTGAGGATGTCATGAGATTGTTAAGGTGAGGCATACCCAGTGATATTGAGCTTTTCGAACCGCCAGCCGCGAGTTGTCGCCGTTCCAGCAGCCCCATTTGTGGTCGGGATACTTCTCCACGAGCTTCCATCCGCGGAGGTAGGCGCTGTCAAAGGTGATTTCAAGCTCATTCTCACCACCGTCTTTCTTCAGCACGGACGTGACGTCGACGCGCTCGGGGGTGAACATGTTGTCCGACTCGAGGATGGTCTCGCCGTTCAGCACAACGGTGGCAAAGGTATCCAGACCGTCAAAGGCCAACACGGCCTTGGCACCCTCCGGGACGGCGTCCGGGGAGGTGAAGGTGGTCCGGTACAGCCATTGGGCCTCGCCGATCCACTGGACGTCGAGTTCGTTCTTGCCGATGAAGGGGTCAGGGATGACGCCGTGGTGGATGAGGTCGAGGTGGACGTTTGTGGGGAACTGGCTAACAGGGAGGAGTTTGGCGTCTTGATTGTCGGCCTGCTTGAAGTGCCAGTTCTTGTCGATGGGCGTCACGCTCCGGGGGGCTGCCATTGTGCTTTGGGACGTGTTAGCTGCGCTGGAGCGGTGCGGCAGGCTCGCGTGGAGACGCATTGCAAATGGATTAGGGGTGGTAGAGTGCCAATTGAGGGTATAAGAAAGCCCAACTCACGAGGTAGATGCTGGGTGGTGGACTGCTTAAGAGGACGGCGGATGACGAGACGATGTCGGATGGATGCGCACCGAGCGTCGTGCCCCGCGGAGGATGGCGGGGTCGCTGGGGGAAGCTGGGAACGACGACGGGGGTGTCTTCCAGGGGTGAGGGGCAGGTCCCGATTGCTCAATGAGATGAGAAGACAGAGTGCACTTGAGCAAACACTCGCAACAATGATCTCAGGTGTAATGAACTGAGTACGACGTTAATATCGAGTCTGCAACCTATGAGAGTAGCTCAGACACGAAGTAACCTGCTCATCTGAAGATGAAGCAACGGCCGGAGGAGGCGCCGTCTTCATATACTCCCGCAAACACGGTCTCTCCACCTCGTCAGTTCACCTCCAAGACCACCCGCCGGCCGAGGTGCCCAGGATGTAGGATCACCATTGCATTCAATTTCAGGGATCAGGACGTGTTTCTCAGTCTGAACGACGGGACGACACCCGCCGAGATGCATCTCCCTGGCCTTGTTCCCCCACACCGTTTCCCTCCATTGCGAAGGTAGACTCGCCGAGCGGAGAATGAGGGACGCCTCTTTTCTCCAAGATTGAGGCGTGGGAGTGTTACATCCCTTGGGTTGAGGTGCGGCTGGGGGCTGCATTCACGAGCAATCCGTGGCACAGCAACTGATGATCTTTTGCGCATCGTACATAACCCAACTTCATCATGTTTAATGCCCGGTTTCTCATGAACTGCCTTGGCTCTGACTTCCAACACGAATCGAAGGAAATGCGGCAAGTCATCTCATTCGACAACCACAGCGCTGGATCCAACATCTCACCATCGGGAATATAAATCACCACCGACAGTGGAGAAAGTCGTTCATTACCCCAAAAGCCATCTCCAACTCCATCCCCAAACCCCTGCTCACCTCGGTGGGGTCCCATCACGGAGGGAGGCCTTCCGTTTTCCTGATCGGGGCATGGGCTCCATTAAACTCTCCGACGTGATCGCTTCCTTTGGGTGTCTCCGAAGATAGCCTCATGACGACTAACACCGAGGCTTTCCTCCTGCCGTCCGCTTTCTCAGAACTCAAATCATTGGAGATGCGTGCTTCCTTGGTTCGTGGTACCACTCTGCACCTCGCCGTTTCAGTTGTCTGATTTTGTGGATGTCTTCCTCCGTCACAACCACTGGCGCAGAGGCATTCCCGCCGCGGGGGGATTGGCGGACATGAAGATTGGCATCACCTTCGCCATCGGTCCTGGAGGCCGAGACTCCGTCTGTTTACCTGTCATGTTCGGCCTGATTACTGATGCAAAGGAAGTCCTTCGCAAGACTCATACGTAAGTTGAATCACCATCTGGTTCAATCATGCCACCGACCTCGTCTACGGGTGAATGTGTGTCATTATTGTATGTAGCTGTAAACAGGTGTATGTGTGCGGCCGGCCCCGACTTGGGAACGAGGTATCTATCCCGAAACGCCAGCTCAACTCGGTTCATGAAGCGAAATCCGCCGCCTTCTCCAGTCGTCAGGTATATCAGATCCCAGCAACATCTCGTCGTTCGAGCCCCTTCATCACGGCCCGGCAGAAAGTAGCAACACAATCTTCCAGAAACTCCTCGCAAACTCCAAAGCCCACAAAAGAAAAACATATCCATACGAGGTCTGCTGTTCCCTCCTCCATCAGAAAGCGCCGAGCGTGGCCAAGGTCGACCGGCATTAGCAGCACTTCCCGCCTCCGCGTCGGTTGGAAAGCGTAAAGACCTCTTCCCACTCCCGCAGCCCCCAGTTCGCGCCGCTGCGGGTGTTCCGCCTGCCTCTCCGTCTCCGCACGGTGCCGGCATCGTCGAGCGTCGCGCCGGTCATGGAACTCTTGATACTCGCCCCGTCGCTGGCGCCCGCGTTCCAGCCCCCGCCGTAGCCGTCGCCGTACTGGATGCCGCTCATCGGATCGTCCGGATCAATGTCGCCCAGCTCGATCTTGGTCAGAATCATGCGCGCCAGCCTCGCAAAGATCTCGTCCACGTTCTCGCCGTTGAATGCGCTCGCCTCCATCACCACGGGGATCCCGACCTTGCTCGCCCACTGGTTCGCATCGGAGTTGCTGACCTCGCGGCCCTCGGGGGCTTCCGACGCTTTTTGCTGCGTGCCGAGCGTCGGCAGGCTGGTGCCGGCGGAGCCGTTTGTGAAGTAGGACATGGAGCCAACGCTGCTCGGTGTTGGCGGGGGCAGGCTCGTGTCGATGAGGGGGTCGGAGGCGAGATCGAGCTTGTTGCCGACGAGCAGACACGACAGATTCGGAGAAGCTAGGGCGCGGGCATCGTTGAGGAAGGGCTGCAGTCCGCGGAAGCTGGTGTGGGATGTTACATCGTAGACGAGAATAGCGCCGGCGGCGCCTCGATAGTATGATCGCGAGACGGAGCGGAATCGTTCGGTGCCGGCAGTGTCCCAGAGCTGTCGCCGCCGCCGTTAGCTTTCCTTCTCTCGCTGTTCTGATGTCAAAAGTTGCGTCGCGCGTACCTGCAGCTTTATGCGTTTCCGCCGGGATCCGGTGCCGACCTTGATGATCTTGCTCGCGAACTCGACACCGATAGTCTGGGACGATAAGACCCGCCACTCGTTCTTAACGAAGCGGTGCAGCAGGCAGGATCTGTATGCGCGGAGACATCGTCAGCCATGTCTCGACTCCCGTGTGGTTTATCGCAGGTGCTCGCGTGGTGTCCTGGGCGTCACTCACTTTCCTGTCCCGCTAGGTCCCAAGAGGATGATCTTGGCGAGGTAATCGTACATGCTCCCCAGCTCCTGCGCATCCCGTCAGCATATTTGGTCCCTTTTTGGACATCGAATCGAGGTGTCGGAATGTCCTGACCTGCTGGCCAGCGGTGCCATCGCTTTCCTCGCTGGCGGCGCTGGAGCGACGCGGTCTCGTCATAGTGGCGGTGCGGAATGTTGTGTTGCGGTGATCGGATCGGAAAAGTCGGGCAACGGACGGCGCTGCGATAAGGACGGATCGTGGGCGTTTGTTGGTAAGCAAAAGCGAAAAACGAGCAAGGAACCGCGACTGCAGAAAAAGAAAATATCCGAGCAAAAAAAACAAAAATCGTAAGGCGGCGGCCTCTGGCTGGGCGCGACGTTGAGGTCGCAGCGAGCAGTTTGGACCTGCGTTTCGTATCGTGTCGGGCAAGGGAGACGGACTGATTGAGGTGATTGATGTACAGTGCTGGTTGATGCAGCAAAGAGGGAGAAGGTCACTGCAGCCAGCGTAAGGCAAGGTAAGGTATTCTTGGAAACAAGCCCCCCCAGCAAGGGCGATGAGCAACACAATGACGGAAGACGCACCAGGCGACCAAGCAGAGCAGCGCAAAGCACAAGGACCAGGACCCAAAACCCGGAACCCAGGACCCAGGACCTTGAACGGTGCTTGAACTCGTCCTGTGACATGGGATGGCCGCCAAACCACGCACTTTCCGTCCTTCACAGGCTCGGAGCAGCACCACACTGCAGCTGCAGCAGCACCTGGACCGCCTGCTGAGTCCACTGAGTGTGGTCCACGTCGATACGCGGGAGGCTCGAGCGCCGGGCCTTTTTTTTTCTTCCCTCTTTTGTTATTATGAAGGTGGGTGGGCAGCCACACGCGTGGCTCCGATAAGACATTGTCCCAGGTACGTACCGTCTTATCAGTGGGACGGAAAGAACAGGCGGGTACGAATACGTACCGCAATGGGCAGTCTTTCATCACACTCACTGACAGCAGCCGCCAATGGCACACCCAGTCCTCACCCAGCACCTGAGCAGGGGCCACAGCTCACCGGAGACGCACACCGAGGCCCCGTACCGAGGCTTGACATCACCGGACTACCGAGCTTCAGGGGACCGGCTGTAAGCTCACGCCTCCCGCATCAACGACGAGCATTCATCCACTCCTAATTTATGCGACGAAACACGTTTAACTTTCTGTAAAAACATTCAAGCATCATGAAGATTGACGGCCGTACGTTCATTATTTCAGGCGGGTAAGCAAAGCGTCCCTGTCATGTTTATTGAAACCGTGGTATCCCTGATCACATGCCAAACACCAACATCATCAACTCATGCTGACTCTCATCCAATTACAGAGCCTCCGGCTTAGGTCAGGCCTGCGTGGAGGAAATATGCAGAAGCGGCGGCAATGTCTCCATCTTGGACATGAATGAGGACCTGGGCAACGAGCTGGTCGCCAAGCTGGGTTCCTCTGCCAAGTTCTTTGTCTGCGACGTTCTCGACACCAAGAGCATCGAGGCCGCCGTCCAAGGCACCGCTGAGTGGGTGAAGCAAACCGGCAAGCCAGTGGGCGGCGTTATCCCGGCTGCTGGTGTAGGAAACCCGGCAACGGTATGCCAAATCTCTTCACCTCTGTCATGCCTCCATCACTAACCACCTCCAGATCCTCGACCGCGACGGCAACCCCTTCAGCCTCGACCAGTGGGACTTTGTCCTCAACATCAACCTCCGCGGAACCATCGACCTCACCCGCCAGGCCCTCGCCCTCATGGCCAAGAACAAGCCTTCCTCGCCGGACGGTGAGCGGGGCGTCGTCATCATGGTCGCCTCGTCCGCCGCCTTTGACGGGCAGAAGGGCCAGGTTGCCTATGCCGCCAGCAAGGGCGCCGTCACTGCCATGACCCTCCCCATGACGAGAGACCTTGCACGCTTCGGTATCCGTGTCGTGACCATCGCCCCGAGTCTGTTCGAGTCCCGCATGACTGCCGTTATGGGCAAGAAGGTCCGCGCTAGTCTGGAGAAGGCTATGGAGTTCCCCGTCAGAGCCGGAAAGCCAGAGGAGTTTGCGGCACTGGCGAAGCATGCAATTGAGAATGTGATGCTTAACGGGACGGTGCTGCGGCTAGACGGAGGTATGAGGATGCCGAGTAAGATGTAAGATAGTAGTCCGCAGTTCAAAAGAAGAGTTTTGCTATCCTGGCGGATAACTGTTATGTTAGGTCTGATAGTTTGTCTCGTATTAGCAATTCTGTCGTCCCTCATGTTACTGTCGTCGCTATTATCGCAGTCGCCCTGTGGCCGCCGCCCCTCTTTTCAGCTATACCTACTACCCGCCCGGATAGCAAAACTCTGGAACTCGGAAAATATTGGACAGAGCTTGACACACGTTCGAATCACCAGGCAGATTGACGAGGCACAGCATCGGTAGCTATTCGATTGGCAAACTATTGTACACGTTTCTGAGGAGCACTGTCATATCCCAGGTCCGTCTTCGTTCCGGCACGTCTCAATCCTGTTGAAGTACGCGAACGTACTCGGAGATCGTAGGCCAAAGCACCCCTTTCTCCTCTCTAACCTCTTTGAAATCACCAGAGTCGTCCATCACAGGTGTGAAGCGGTGTGCTTGACTACGATTTACGGCCAGGAAGTAAACACTCTCGAGACTCGGGCACATCCGGAAGAGCGCCTTGGCGTTCTCACCCTGGTCCTCTTTCGCGTCGTGATTTTCCTGGGCCAGCTCGTAAGCCTCCCAATAATGATCGTTGCCGCATGCGTCGTTTATCTCAACCCCGTCAATTTCGGCCTCCTCCCCGGCGTTGCAGAGCTCGCAGTCGGCTGAAAGATCATCTTGAATAGCATCCACATTCAAGTCGTCTGGGTGGACTAGGTCCGTGAGTGCCAGAACCTTGAGTTGTCGAAATGGCTCGAAGATTGGGACCAATTCCTGTGATTCTCCGAATCAGCTCTATGACTGTTGAATGACAGGAACTCGTAAATAACAAGGGCAAAAAAAAGGAGATAAAATGAAGAAATGAAAAAAACGTACTGAGATCATAAGCTCGTGGTCAATATTCCCGCTGAGTATCAGCTTGGTGACGTCCGGGAAGAAGTCATAAATTTCAGAAACATGTTCGAATTCCCAGCGTGCCTTTCGGAGGCTGATGGTCTTCAGCTTGAACGATAACAAGCCGAACAAGTCATCCAGAGAATCGTAGTGCGATTGGTGTCCGACGTTCAGGTGGAGGGCGTCCAATTCAGGAAAGACCTTTTGCATGAAGATGACGCCTGGCGTCATCCTGCACAGATCGAATCCGTATTGCATTTTCTTGACGACCGGCAGCACGACGTGTTGCCTGAAAAGCTCAATTCCTAGGCGGTGGCCAAACTCACGATCATGGAGTAGGTTGAGGCACAAGTCGTTGAGACGGGGCATGTGACTTAGAAGTCTCGCAAGACCGGTATAAGTTTCCGTTTTCCATACACGGTTGGGTTCGCTGAAGAGGTTGATTTCCAGGTGCCTAAGTAGAGTCAGCGCTGTTCAATTGTCCCGTCGTCTTCATGATGTAGGGCAAGCGTTTCAGGGAAGACGGGGCAATAGGCGAAGGGTCAGGACTGACTGAACAATGTGCAAAAGTCTGTTGCCCTCGATAGATTGGATTTTGGACAGGAACTCGTGGTACGGGGTACGGATTCGCATGGTCGTGAAGATGAATGGTATGCACATCTCGCGAAGGAACTTGGTAACGAGAGAAAGCCGGACGACATCGCGTTTCTTTCTGGAGATTTGCTCCATGGTTCCCATGCAGTGATTGATGATCTCGAGGACAAGCTCTCTCGGGAGCGTGACAAGATAGGTCTTCGAGTGGAAGGCAGGAACGGTAAGAGATCGATGTGGTTCTCCGACATAAGCGCTGCCAACGCTTATGCCGGGCGACTCCGTGTCGGTGTCCATCGAAATCGAGGACGGCTCAGGCGGGGGGAGGAATTTGTTGCGGGCGATCGGTTGTCCGGAGGTAGATAGGTAAAGAAAGAGATTTCCTGGAGAACGGAAAGAAGAAGGGAATTTGGTTTGCGTGTGCCAAAGGTAGGTAGTTGGCCCGTTTGTGCAGCCGAAAAGTTTGGGAAGGTACGCACCTGCCTTGAGCCAGCTACTTCGCTCCTTCTCGAACAGAACAATGACAGCAGTCTTCGCCTCGTAGATTGGTGGCCACTTCAAGAAAGGGAAAAACGGAGAAAACGAATGGTGGAAAAAGGTCTAGCCACAGAGCCGACTGTAGCGGCGTGATATCAATCAAGATAGCAATAAGAAATTGGCGCATCACATAGTCAGCAATTCCGAAAAGAACTCAAATGAATGTCAAACAGGGAAAGCTTGCGGCTTCCATGAAATAGCATCTATCAAATCATTAGGTATGTCGAGAAGTGACAGTCATGGTAGCAGGTGTCATTCGATTGATCAATTATTTTACATGCTCTGTTGGTACACTTCGCATCCCAGGTCCATCTCGGTGCTAGCAGGCATCTTACGCTGCACTAAGCTCTTTGGAAATTCCAGGCCAGTCTACAAGCTCCTTGTGCCGGAATCGGACGAATAGACCAGAGTCATCTCTCACAGGCTTGTAGCGAGTGGCTTGGGCCCATGTGGTCTGGAAGTACAAGACTTCGAGATCCGGGCATTCCCTAAAGATGTCCCTCACGTTCTCTTTCTGGTCCTCGGCCAAAGGATGGTGCTCTCGGGCCAAATCAAGGGCTTCGCCGTAATGCCCTCCAGTGAAGGAACAATCTTCGCAATCACAGGCCCCTTCTTGGCCCTCATCCCAGACAAGATCCATGTCATCGTTCGTAAAACAGTCTTCGCATTCGCACTCAGCTCGCACTGCCCACAAGTACTCACCCAGATCCTCGTCATCAATGGAAACGAGGTCAGTGACTGCCAAAGACCTAAGATTTCGAAACTTCTTGAAAGTCGGGATCAGCTCCTATTTTTGTTGAAGTCAGCTCCAGAGATGCGAAGAGACAGACGAATGACGTAGACAGAAACATGAAATGAAAGGTGGGCGTTATTACCGAAATCGCAACATCAAATACTTCTCCTCCAACAATCAGGCTTGTAATCTTCGGGAAGAGCTTGTAGATGTCTTTGATAGCCTGGGATGTCCAGAGATAGTTGTGGAGGCTGAGCTTGCGTAGCTTCAGGCGACGCGCGATGGTCGACAAGCCAGCCACAGTCTTCAGAGAAGTAACAGCCCTGAGATCAAGATGAAGGGCCCGCAGTCCCACGAAAACTGACGCAATGAAGCTGACCGAAGGTGATGGGTCTGGGTTTGAAAACGATATGTCGTAGTTGAATCTCTTGACGGTTCGAATGGTGATACATTGCTTCACGAGCTCGTCTTGAACGGCGGTCGCCAATGACTTCTCTCCCGATTGCAGGCACAGGCTCAGATCTTTGAGATTCGGCATGCGGCCTAGAAGCCCTGCTAGACGGGAAGGTGTGTCTCGTTCCCATTGAGGAGTAGCATCGCGCAAGGCGGTTGAAGTTATTTTCAGATGTCTGGTAGAAATTAGTATTGCCCAAATGATGATGTAGATCATTCAAAGCTGGGTGGAGCGGCGAAGGGTCAAGTACGCACTGGACGATTTCGAGAACGCGGCTGTTCTCGAGAACTTGAATATGGCCAAGAAGTTCGACATGGTCGGTGCTCAGCTTCAAGGTCCTGAAGAGTATCGGAACGCACATCTCGCGGAGGCTCTTGTCCACAAGAGAAAGCTGTGAAATAGTGATGGTTCTGTTCACTGTGATTCTGTTGTAGAGCGGTCGTGGAGGTACGCAGAGTTTGATGATATCGAGGATGAGCTCTTGCGGGAGAGTGACGAGGTAGGTTTTGGTCGTGGTAGGAACGGCTTGAGGTAGATCAGGTTCTCCGGCAACAGCGCCGCTTCCAGCAGCGCTTGCGGCGGGAGACTTCACCTCGGCGGCCATCACGATTGTGACCGAGCAGAGTTTCGGATGGAAGCGCTCTGTTGCGCAGCCGGTTATCGTTTGGCAGGTGGTTGAGATGGAACGGGCAAATTCTTCTCTTCATTTCAGGTGTATGGGAAGTGGAAGTAGGTAGGATTTGGTCAAATTCAGGCAGACTTTGCGGCAGAGGTGAAGTGAGTGTGAGCTTCCATGTCAAAGGGGAAAGAACGTCGTGGGGACCCACCCTTGCAGTTGCAACAAAGCCCTCCATTTCAGAGGCAGGCGCGTCCCTCGAGCTTGCTCCTGTCTCGGCCGATCACTCGGGGAACGAGATTCATTGCATGGCTAGTTTCTACCTAAGACACGTGAATTGTAGAAAAAGTCCAACAGCTTTTCTAGCATTATTCAAGAATGGACAGGTGCGTTCGTCAGATATGTGCGAGTTTGCTTATGGGAGCTGTTTGACTAGACTACAGTTTGGTATTTCTTCAGAAGAGACCGCCTATTGACCTTGCTGTCGCCATATTGTTCATCGTCGTCGTCGTCGTCGTCGTCGTCGTCGTTGTTTTTGTCATTGTCGTCGTCGTCGCCGCTGCTATTATCATCGTCGTCGTTGTTACTATCGTCGCCCTCTGAATTTTGACTTCCGTGCCCCTTCCTTTCCTGCCGCATGTCGATGACCACACTTAATCGAGCACCGTCTTCAATAGTAGAATTCTGTGAAGATCTTTGGCCAATCCTCATACTCGTCGATGGTTAGAGTGTCAACGTTGCCGTTGTCATCCTTGATAAGACGGTAGCGTGTAGAGTAGTCATCGTTGCGGAGCTGGAAGTACACCGTCTCAAGTCTAGGACACTCCTCGAAGAGACTGACTGTATTCTTCACTTGGTCCTCCTCCATAGACATGGAGAGACGTTGCTGAGCCATCGCGTGAAAATCCTCGTAGTTCTCGTCATTGTAGTGGCATTCGTCACAACTACAGTTAGTGTCGATGGTACAGGGTTCGTCACCGAGACAACAGTCGCAAACGCAGTCGCCCTCTTCGTCGATCAAGCTCGTCATCACATCTTCAATGGTGAAGTCGAAGATATCAGTGAGCCCAAGAATCTCAAGCTTCTTAAATCGCTCGAAGACCGGCAATACGGTCTGAATTCGCTTTGTCAGTTGCTGTGCAGTTCGAAAACGAAGCGAAGAACTTACAGAGAACTTGAACTTCTGGATCTGACCCCCAATGATCAGCTTGGTAACACCTGGAAAGAGGTCGTAAATCTCGTCGAAGTCTTTCGCTTGCCAACCAAACTTGCAGAGGCTAAGGGTGTGCAGGTTGAGCTTGGAGGCGATGGTAGACAATCCAGGGATTGTCTTTGGAGACTTGCCCATCGTCAAAGTGAGGTGGAGGGCATTTCAGTCCAGTAAAGACAGTAGGAATGAAATGCGTCGTGCTCTCTGCGAAGTGATCGAACTTGGTGACGCTGGGGACCGTAATGCGTTGCTTGAGGAGCTCGTATTGAACAGCCACCATGAGACTCTGGTATCCATCCGCGAAGTAGAGATCCAAGTCTTGAAGGTTCGACATCTGGCCCAGGACGCTCGCAAATTGGGCAGGCGTGTCTCGATACCAAGACTCACTCGCGTTGCCTGAAGTCTCAGCGCGAGGCAGGACAGAAATAATTCTCAGATGACTGTTTCAGATTATTAGAATCATCCAAATACCAGACACTATAGACGCTGCAGCCAGTGTCCAGCGAAACGCCCTGAGCGAAAATCCAGAGGCTGCTGCCGCTGCCGCCGCCCTTGCTCCGGGCCGGCGACTTCCTTCCTGTTGCCCGCGCCCACCCTCTATCTTCGCGATACGTCGATCAATGGTCGAAGGGGCACGGCGGGGGTATGCACGAATCCGCGCTCGGGAGTGTTTTCCCGTGGAGTCTACGGATATCGCTCCGGGCCATTCGAGACATGTTGAAGGGAGCAATAGACGAGTGGAAGAAGAGGCTTGAGACTCACTGGATGGCTCTGAGGACGTCACTGCCTTCAATGCCTCGAACAAGACGAGAGAAACGGTGGTGGTTAGTGCGCATCTGCACAGTGGTGAAGAGCGTTGGAATGCACATCATCCGAAGGCTCTTGTTGACGGCAGAAAGCTGGGCGACATCTTGTTTGAGGTCAGGCCTGTAGGTTGGGATGCAGAGTTGAACGATCTCGAGAATGAGCTCTCTTGGCAGAGTAGCGAAACCTGTGAATTTCTTGATCACAGTGCCGCCTCTGTCGTTGTCTGCTGTCGTCATCGTCCTCTGTTGTCGTCCTCTGTCGCCGCCTCTGTCGCTACCTCTGTCGTTGATGTTGTCATCGTCTGCGCTGGGGGAATCCATCGTGATGACCGTCGGAGTAGTGGGGAATCCAGCCATGTTGAGGGGGAGTCGCGACACGATTGGTTGGTGTTTTTGTTAGGTGCTCTCAAACGAGCGAATCTGGTCTAATTTTCAATCGGTCGGAAGGTGGAAGAGGTGTTTAGTCAAATGAGGTGGGTGTTGTCGCGCCCCCAGCATGGTAAATCCAGCCGTTTGTCAAGGTGAAAGAAAAGCCTGAGGCTCCACTGGTGCAGTTGCAACAAAAAGCCTTTCAGAAGCAGGCACGATGGTGTTTGGTGCTTTACATGTCTCGATCATTCTACTGGAGAAATATCTACTGCATCTCAGAACGTTCAAAGACGCTTGCTGATATGACGAAGGTCGGAGGCTTCAGCAAAGGTTATTTCCAGCGCCATGAAATAATCGCGCATAGATGAGCTATCGTAGACTGCCTTTCTTGCGCATTTCCTTCGTTTGGAAGATCCGCTCAAATGCCTCAATCGCCTATCCTTCGCAATGAGAACATTCTCATCACCCATATTACCAATCGTTTGACCGAGTTTGACTGTGTTAGCTGTGGATCTGAATCTGTTTCAATCTCGTCAAGACCTCTGGTTACTTGATGACAATGACAAATTTGCCTAGGCAGAGCATATAGCCTAGGATCAAACGAGATGGTTTCAACATCAGGGGTTCTTAAGACTCAGACACAGCTGATACAATTCTACTTGTTGAAGTGTGCGTTAATGGACGAAATTTAGACACATATAACGAGTCGAATGGAAGTCTAATAGAAACCGCAGTAATCCCATTTAATGATACAAAAGATTTGAAAGATTGCTAGTGATTTAAAAAAGCGCCTACACCGCGATGAGCTCTGGGTGTTCTGGGGAACAACTGTAAACCGGATAACCGGCACGTTTTCAGGAGTTTGAGGATTCTTAGGCGAAGCACAACATCTAGGATTTTACGTCTTACATCAAAATGTACAAGGTCAGTCGGGAGATATCTCTTAGTGAGGAGATTATCAGTTAGCCTTCCTATTCATTATGTGGTTTAAAAAGTTCTTTTAAGGGACTTATTAATAAGGTCTCCTAAATAGATTTTGGTATTTGATCGCTAAATTGAGATGCATATTTTAAGATCAATGTGTTTTCAACTGTGATCGCGGAGACAGAAGAGTCCCAAACACTGCTACGTTGTCAAAAATAGGTACATCATTCCCATCACACTTGACCGCGAAAGGAGAAGCATTTGACGAAACGAAGGCGCTGTTTGGGCCTAGGAAAGAAGCGACATATGCATGGGACTTTTTCGACATGATTGATGAGCTTTTTGAGTACGTGAACATTTCAATTCGTGGCCAGTGTGCTATCACCCGTTGCTAGAATGCTCGGCAAGGGCAGGGCCACATACTAAGCCCTTGGCAGAGAAAACCGTTCGGCCATGCCGTATGCAGCAAAAGTACGGTCAGATCAGTTTGGAAAGTGCGTAGTTCACATTAGGAAATTAAATCAGCAGCCATTGTTGAGTAGACATATGTGGTCTCATTTGCCCTAGCACATTCGTTTTGAGACCCTTGACTAACGCCTGCGCTTTGCTGTAATGCTCTCCCTAAGTTCGGGCGTTCAGCGGCTGGGCGGAAATGCAAGGAGCAGGCGGGCCGCGCCGGCCCTGAGACCAAGTCGTCAAGACGCAGCTCCACCTCTGTCTTTCTTGAGAGGCACCTTACCATAAACGGGGAAAGGATTGCATAGATCATCACTGGTGACGTGGTTATCCTTTCTATTTCTACGAGGATAAGGTGCCGGAAGGTCCGCCCCGTAAGATCACATTCACAATTTAGATTACATATGAGATGTCAAGTTGAGACGCGCGGGGCAACGACGGCGAGACCCTCAGCCACAGGCTGACCGGATTCTGGCTGTAAGATGCGTCTCTGTAGGATGATCACCCAAGTAAAGATCACTCCGAGGCCTGGGATTCCAGCTCGATGGGCAGGTTTCTCAAAGTGTTCGTGGCTCGATAAGCGTGTTTGTATCCCAGTAAGCATTCCTTTGCATTCAAGTCTTCGTATACATCCAAGTTGTGTTGCTTACTGCTTTCAGATATAGCGAGTATAGATCAGCGGCCAAGGAGTAATCTTACACATACAGTGCTTACAACCCTGGCCTCTTCATTATCATTCACCTTGATGTAGATTGCCTAGCTGTGACACATTTTACGACACTGTGAAGGAAATTCTAATCAACTGAGGTACACCAAATACACGTAAGACGATTCTGTTCCCCTTATCCAAATAGCCACATGAAAGCCAGTATTGGGTGCCGTGATTGTATACCATGCAGGCCACAACTACGAAGGATTCGTATACAGTACCCCTTGACATCAACGGCAATTCAAAGCGCAAATCAGACGCTGATTTGTCGAAACGGTGAAACAATGTGCTCAGACGAAAAGCAGAAACTTCCTGGATATCCTTGGTCCTTGAGATGGTACCCCTAGCTGGCGGTGTAGTCTTTTGAGTTCGAAGAATGCATGGCAACATCTCGAAAAGCCTGATCCCATTTTGCACGCAGAGGCATCCTATGATTGTCTGCCAAGCAGAGATCGTGGTCTTCGAATAGTGGGGAAGAAGTCAACCACCTACAACATGTAGATTTGCAGTGGCTCTATTTGACTATAAATGCCAGCCAGTTTCTCTTCAAACCTCGAATCTGTTCTTCAGTTCATTCTGCTCTTTACATTTTCCTCATTACTCCGTTAGTTATTGACAAATACCCGCTTAACATATCAGTTCAGCACTTGCCAACATGCTCTTCTCCAACCTCGCATCCGCCGCCGTCGCAGTGTCTGCCCTTTTTGTGCCCGCAGCTTTCGCACAGAACGAGAAAGCTGCTCGCGCCGGCGATGTCACCTTGAAGTGGCACATCACGAAGACCTGCGGCGGGCCCGGTCCTGCCCGATCTTATACTCGCAACGAGTGCATCGAACTGTCCGACAGTTCCCGCGCTGTCAAGATGTTGGGTCGCAACGGCCTTTGCCACCGTAAGAGCACTACTCCTTGTGCCTATTATTACCTATCAGGACCTTATGCTGACATTTCTCTCCGCTTCGCAGTGGTCTCCTTCAGCGACCGAAGTTGCCTCAGGAACGCCAAAACTTTGGGAACGGTCAACAAGTGCTACGATCTCAGCGGGAAAGGGTCTGTCAAGATTCAGTGTTAGATAATGACATTTGGATCCAACGTTTCGTACAATCGATGGCGGATTTGAGAGGAATGGTACTGGAATAAAGCTGCGATCATGAAAGTTGATCCGCTGCCATTCGTTTTGCAGAATTGTTTAGCTGCCCAACCCCAGACACTCATTTTCAACATAGGCCTGTCAATGCGCACGTGAGTGTGGCAATATTAGCCAGCACCTCAGATCATGAATAAACAGACTCACTGATATGCCCAATCTTAGAGTGGTGGCTTGTGGTTTGAAGTAAATGTGTATGCAATCCGAACCCGGATTGGTCTTCGCGCTCCAGTAGAAGAATGAGACAAGGGATGACAAAAATGACGCATAATGGGAGATAGACGAACTTAGCTGCCAGATTGTAGTTTGGCCCAAAGAGACTAGCTTGGCTTATAGAGCGTATCTGAGGTAGACACTGGAGTACAGCTATCCATACTCATTAATGAAAAGACCCGGAGCTCTAGCAATAGCAGGATTCAGTAAACAAGGTCCTAAATAACTTCCCTTCTGCCAAAGGTTAGCTTCAACTACCACGGCTCTAGGAACCTTGTATTATTCAAGGCACTCTGACTGCTGTATCCGCTCACACTTTTGAGGAATAAATCAATCCCAGATCCTTACCTTATCATGGGCATGCTGCTGCTGCCTTGGAATAGCCTCATGACAAAACCTCATCTGCAAGTAATTACATTTACAAAATATGTTAACGCAAGGTTCAATTGTTCACATACATTCCCCGGAACTATTATCCTCAGCAACACACCTTTCACTTTGCAATGTGCATCTTGTGGAGAATTCATTGAGAAGAGCAGCGAACCAAATACAAGATATTCTGCTGAAGTCATTTCAAGACCGACACGAAAACAAGCGATCACGTCTACGAAGGCGGTGCGAAGCTTCATACAGGACCATAGCGTTCAGGACATGCGGCAGACCAGACAGTGGATGAGCATCTGGACGTCTTAGAGCAAGAGGAACAGGAACTGAGGTAGACTGTTGCCGATGGAACCGACGTAGGGTCTAGAGAAGAGAACGCTTGATGTTGGAATGCACATGGCTGCTGATGATGCCCTAGACGAAGTCCGCTCAAAATGTTCTGATAGAATGAATATTTTTATTACATGCACCATGTGCACTTTGTCTAGCTAAGATATTGGCAACTGGTCAAAACCAACCACCGGGGAATCATTTGACGCGGGAAATCATTACAACCAAATGAGGTATAAGCATGCCCCGACCCTTTCCAGGACGTTTGGTCCAGAGACGTGGCGAACATTATCGGAAACACGTTTCTCTTTTTTCTTAGACCTTGTCGCTGACGACAGTCTGAGCGTGAGCGTCTTCCTGGGCAGCAGCGGTGGGCTGGTTCTGGCCGAGGAACTTGGTCTTCTTGAGCTGGTTGAGGTGGTCCTCCTCGCTGTCGAGGTGCTTGAAGCAGAACCAGAAGGCGACACCGCCGACGAAGGCGATGATGGCGACAGTGGTGTAGTTCCAGACGAGGAGGGGGTCCTCGGACAGAGGGGTGAAGGCCTGACCGATGGCGGCGGAGACGGCGCTCATGGCCAGGTTGACGGACATGACGAGGGACTTCATGTTCTCGGGGGCCTTGGAGAAGGCGTACTCGTACGAGGTGACATTGGTGAAAATCTCGGCGAGGCCGATGAAGATGTAGGGCAGGCACTGGGCCCAGACGTTGATCTGGGCGGGACCCTCCTCGCAGACGGTGGCGAGGTTGCCGCAGGGGGACATCTGGTAGATGTAGTGCTGCATGACGGCGGCGGCGACCATGGAGGCGGCAGCGAAGAAGAAACCGGTGGTCATGCGCTTGATGGGGGTGAAGTTGAAGCCCATCTTGCGGAACAAGGGGTAGACTCCGTGGTCGAGGATGGGGATCATGATGATGATGGAGAGGGGGTTCAGGTTCTGGATGACGTCGTTGGGGGCGCCGCCGAGAACCATGGAACCGGCCTGGGAGGTCAAGTTGTTGGTCATCTGGTTGTAGGCGAGGAAGAAGACGGGCAGGAAGAGGAAGACCTTGCAGGCCATGAGACCACGTCTGCACTCGTCAACCCAGGCATCATCGTAAGTCAACCAGCTAGGGCGCTCAGCGACGGGGATGTTGCTGGGCTTAGCCATGTCCCAGTTCATCTTGCCGAAGCCGCCGGAGCGCTTGCGGGCGAAGTTGGTCATCTTCAGGAACTTCTCGAGGACGGAGCCGGTGGGGGGCGTGAGGTGGTACTTCTTCTTGTTGGACCAGAGAACAACGGGGCAGATGAGGAAGAGGATGGTAGGGAGCAAGAACGCCAGCCAGAAGCTGTGGTACTTCTCGACGAAGACCATGGAGACCTGTCCGGAGACGGCACCGACGTTGATGCAGAAGTAGAACCACAGGAAGACACGGGTGTTGGTGACGGCGGGGTCGACAATCACACGCTCGCCATTCTGGACAACGACGCGCATGCGGCTGTCAGGGTTCTGCTCAGCGAGAAGAGGGGAGATGTTGGCCTTGAAGAGACCCGTTCCGGTGCAGAGAGTGAAGAGGCCGATGAAGAAGGGGGCGAAGGCGGTCTTGCCCTTGTCGAGCACGTCAGGAGCGGCGGCAACGGTCAGAATAACGTGGGCGAGGGTAGAGACGACGATGGCGATGTGAATGACCACGTAGCGACCAAACTTGGCATCAGCCAACCAGGCGCTGAGTAAGTTAGCCGGTTGTTCTCGCGTGTTTTCTACTTGACAAGTACAACTTACCCGAACAGAGGGGTGATGTAGGCCCAGAACATGTTGACCAGAGACACACCCTGAGAGGCCCTTTGGCCCATGTTCAGAGCACCGGGACTGCGATCATCGTCACTGTATGTGGCACCGGTCCTGGAGCCGGCGGGCATGGGGCGCATGACGAAGTTGGTGTACAGAACGGAAGATCCGTAGTAGGAGAAACGCTCGCAAAGCTCGGCGAAGGCGATGGTGTACATGCTCCACTTGATAGGTCCGGAGACACGGCGGAGGGTGTGAAGCTCCTCCTCGGTAGGCTTGTCCGGGTACTCGTCGTCAGACTTGGAGTCGTAGGCGTCCTCGGTGACGGGGGCGGCGGCGGCGGTCACGTCGAAAGAGCCGCGGCCGGCCTGGATCTCCCTCTCGGTGCCCTGGACGGTGGCCGCGGGGACGTGGGCCTTGGCCAGGACATCGTCCTGGAATCCTCCAAGGTTACTCATGATGAGTTTGCGGGAGCTGTGTTCCTGGTGGGCGTTTGGGTTGAAGAACAACAACGAAGACAGGAAATCCCGATTAACGATATGCGAGAAAGACACGATTTAACGAGTCTTTTCGACAGCAATTGACAGGTAGGGGTCCTGTTGGCCGTAGTTGAAGGGCTGCTGGTCGCAAGGAGAGAAGGGAAGGGGAAGGCTATCGTCTGGGAGGGCGTCTCAAGGGATATGTTTTATATTTCCCAGCGGCGATAATGGCAGGTCGCATCACAGCTGCATTCGGCAGCCGGTAGGTATCCGCAGATAGAGAGACATGGGACATGGGCGGGATGGCTAGCGTGTGGAAGGGTGGAAGCGTGGACTGGGGGTGAAGGGGAAGAGGCCGGGGGGTGTCAAGGACATGGACTCGTCTAGCGCGGAGGGAGTTTGCAAGGATGGCATGGGATGGCAACAGAACTCACGGGGGTGGTTCAACAACAACATGAACTCTGCAAGGTTCCTGTGGGATGGGACAGATGGTCGTGCGTGGGCGTGGGCCGCCCATCTCGCGCATACCGTCGCCACGGGACGGGAGGCAAAGGGCACCCACGCCATGTTTGAGTACATACGACACTGTAGGCAGACGATCACATCGCAAGACACACGACATCGACCTCTGTACTGGCGATGAGGATGGTTACAGCGCCGGGGACCGCGAGGGGTCTGGGGTCGGACAGGGCATCGACCAACCACCAACAGGAACCCAGTGTCCGAGTCGTTCGCTCAGCACCGCTCAGCAGTCGTCGGAGATGGGCGGGCAAGGCGCTTGCAGGATGAGGACGGAGCGATCCAACAGGTGAGAGTCCGCGGCCCAAGACCAGGCTGGACCGAGACAGAAGTCATGGAAATGTGGACAGAGGGAGGAAATGATGGGCCGTGGATGGATCATAGACCTGATGGACCACGATGGGCTCCAGGACAAATGGCCCGATTAGGCAGGTCGAGGATCGGGGGTAATAGATAGGCGGCGGCGTTGTTGTCTGGGGGAGAGAATCAGGGCTCAGCTAAGAGACAGTAGACTCAACGGGACGACATGATTCGTGATTAGTGGTTCGGGTCACACAGCCAGACTGAGCAGCTCAGCAACTCAGCTTGCTGGAGCATATCAGCATCAGCAGCAGCATCGTATCACTATCGACTGTCCTGTCGGTCTTCCTCTGCGGTGGGAGAGGGCTGAAAAAGCCTGCGAGAAAGGTTGGACCGTAAAATGCGACCGCCGAGCCTCTTGGCAGCAACGTTGATCGACCTTGGCATCGACGCCACTCGTAGCCTGGTGAGCCGTCATTGGCGCGCTCCCCGGGCTTTCTGCTGTTTTGGTGCTGGGGGGAGGCGCCCGTTGGTGGCTTCGGTTGCTTTTTTTCTCTTCTTCTCTTCTTGTCCGTCTAACTCGTAGGGGAAGTGGTGCGTCCAACGTGCCAACAAGACTCTCAGAGATGGCGCGGGATGGAGTGCGCCCGTCAGCTGCGATTCCTGCCTTACTGCACGACCAGCTTCTGGCGCGCCTTCGAGAAGAAGTTTGGCCTGCACGATGGGCGGGAGGCGGATCATGGAGGGTGGCTTGCTGATAGCCGAGAGAGTGAGTGCCACACTGCGTCCATGATTTGCTGGCTGGCCACCGGAAGGATTGGTCGTATATTACACCTCCGTTCTGTTCATGGACGGCACAGCAGTAGCGAAGGGCTAAGAGCGGTTGGTGGTGTTGAAGTTCCCCCATTGTCGCGCCCGTCGATGATACGGTTC